CACACACACACACACACACACACACACACACACACACACACACACGAACAGGCAAACAAACTTTGAATGTTTACATTCTGTCTGTAAAAGCAGAAATAATCACTGAATTAATAGTTGTCTTTTGGCTTCATAAAAACTTTCTCACTTCTGTYTGCCTGGTTTGGTTTTGATGTAAATTAACCTAAATAAAATGAAACTGTTCACAATAAAACAGTATACCAATAAAAGACAAACTTAGGACTTACTGACCATAAAGGCCCAGTCACATTAGACAACTTTTGCCAACGTATGACACATTTTATGTATAAATTGCTGATAATAGTTATATATTTGATCAGTTTATTAGAATTACATTATGTACACACCTAAAAGATGCTTCCTGTTGATTTTTTTTCAATTCTATCTTCAACATAGACATTTTTTAAATTTTCACAAGTTGCCATAAGCTGTCTAGTGTGACAGGGCCTTAAACGATGTTTAAGTAAAAAAATACATTTTAAAGTAATTCAAATATAGCTATGTTCAAGATGCTATAAACAATAAAATCCACATAAACAGTCACTCATTAATATCTCTTTGTATTCGTTAAGTTTTTAAGATTATTAAGATTATTTAATAAAAGCAGACGACCGAAAACTTTTCTTGGTATTATAAATGCCTTTACAGCTTTTTGTATTTTATAAACCTTTACGCTTATTCATGTTTATGTCCATACAGTATCCCATACCTCCACCTCCCCAAGTTCTCTTCCACCTGCTCCCCATTCTCAGCACAGATCACAATTTAAAACATGGAGGTTCACAAAGCTTCCTGCCTGACCTCATCTGTTAGTCTGTCCATCACCAGAGCAAACAAGGMGGAGCTCAGATGCAGTTCCACCTCCAGCTTGTACCCATCTGTCACTACTGTCCTTCTGTTCTCACACAGGTCCTGCACCAAGTCTAAACTCCTTCTCTGCTTTGTAAGCACATATAAATTTGGAAACATTCGACATTAAACCTCCTCAGACGGTGGGGTATAATTACAGGGGGATCTAGGTTTTGWCTTAGGCTCTGAAACTTAAACACACATCAGCGTTCGCTCACAATTTTAACAACAAAGCCCACCCACGCTATTAAAAAAAAAAAACTGCACACACATGATCATACATGATGGCTGTGTGTAGGAGTGTACACGAGTCTCAGAGGGATACAGTTTAATTAGAGCCAGCTCTATTCAGTTGCTAAGTGATAGCACTCCTGCAGAAAAACACATACAGTCGCACACCTACGCATCACCTCCAGGTCTTAGGGAGATTATTGTTTATCTTGATAAATATGGTACAGAAAAAAAAGAAGAAGAAGAGCTCCTCCTTGTGCGCTCTTTCATTACCCCTTGGTTATTCTCAAAGTTGTTTGCCAAAGAGGCAGMTGGAGACGGCAGACGTAAGTTTTAACTGTGACCGTCTTGCAGCTACCACTTCGTCCTKAGCAAAGTCTGATTTTAATCTCTGTAAACCAGCGAGGTCTCACATTATATCTGCAACTCCATAAGATACTTCCAAAAGTGAGAACTTAAGCTCAACAGCTACGACAAAGAACAGGGAGGCAGAAAACATAAAAGAATGMGAAACAAAACCTGAATATTTAGTGATAAAAGAGCCACTGCGTTGACCTTGAATTCTAATGCTTCCGGTTGTAGAAAAAAATCGAATTCACTGCAAACTGACTTTAAAATATTTTTTTTAATGTGCCTTACGTTGCTGACATAAGAAATGCAGCAAATTTTTGTTCAAGATTTGTGTTTCTTGTAGGTTTTTAATGGGTTTATTTCTTTTTCTGGTTGTTTCTTTTGAGTATTTTGATTCGCTCTGTGATCCTTAGTTTCTGCCTCTCATTTCTGGCCTTGCTCACTCTCACCTGGTCTCAGGTGTTATTTTGCCCAGGTGTCTCCACTCTGCTCATCAGCYCCTGTCCATATAGTCTAGTTTCACCTCCACCCGCAGATGAGCATTGTACATGCTTCATGCCATGTCTACTTCTCCTTTGCATCGCCTTGAGTTTTGTTTAGTTTTTTTTCCACCACGGATTCCTTTGTTTTARTTTTTATATAAAGCTCCTCACATCAGTCTGTGTTCCTGAGTCCAAACCTTTAAAATCGTGACAATAAGTAGAAAATTACTGTTTTGAGATTCAAAGGGGAATTGATGGTATTAAGCATTATTTTGTTAAAGAGTGTTTCTTTACTTGTGTCTGTAGCTGTTCACAATCTAACTTTCCATAATCCATAGTGATGTAGGAAGCAGTTTTATAGAGAATAATGATTTAAATGGTAAAAAAAAGAGCCTACCAGCCATATTATCTTTGCCTGATCAGGTTTGCCTTACGTTTGTAAAACTTTTACCTCAACACAATGAGCTTAAGACCCTAAAACTCCATTCTACTTCAATAATTAAACCAATAACTCATTTATTCATTAGCACACTGACACCAAACATGAGCTTAAATTAGCGCTTGTGCTCGCTCTTCGCAAAGACAAAGCCATTTTGACGGGGGGTCACCTCTAGCTTGTCGGCACGAAGAAGTTTCTGGTTGGAGGAGGAGCCTGTGGCCACGGAGACGGGCGGGCTGCCGGGGACGATGACGGGAGTGCTGGGCAGGATGTCTGTGGGGACCAGGCCCATGCTGTGGGACATCGGAGTCAGGTACGGCGTRTAGCTCAAACCGGCGCTGGAACCCAAGCCCTGGGTGACTGGAAACGTCTGGTGTAGATGAAGAAAAGATCGGAAGTTAGCCACTTTGTTCCTGTTAGAGGCTAAAGACACCGTGTAAAATGATGATGTAGTGAGGGGGGATGGCAAGCAGAGGATGTAGGACAGAGAGTCAGTGTAATRAAATGATGAATATGGGGTGCAGCTGTGCAGAGCGCTGGTTAGAACAGATGAAAGAATAGGTAGGATGACTGTGGCAGGTCGACAGACAGAAGAGGAGGGACTGAGCCTGGAAAGTGAAAAAAAAACAACAAAAAAAACGAGAGATTCTTTTAAACCATTGTGCATCCTGTTAAGATTTTGCTGAGCAGGCATGCTCTGTTTCAGTTACGCCTGGCGTTWCATGGATGCAGTTAAAAACATTCACACCTGGCAGCTGCCCAGTGCGTCCTCAGCTTACTACTCCTAAAGAACAGCTAAGTAGTTCTGAGAATACATTAAAGCATTAGTAACAGTAAAATGTTTATGATCCGTTTTAGAAAACCATGACAAAAAATGCAGCTAAAAGAAGGAATAAATGCTTTCAATTTGAGTTCAAAAGATCCAACATATGAAGTTTTCTTAGTAAAAGAAGTGATTCAACACTGACCACAGGCTGCATGGTGGTGCCGGGGATCATGAACTGCATCTGCTGGGCCAACATGGCAGCCGCCGTCTTCTGCTGGATCAGATTGTTCCGCCCGTTGATCTCCAGCTGAGTCTTCAGGTGTGCAGGCGGATGGAGGTACTTGCAGTTCTCTCGCGTGCAACGGCCCTGAGGAGTTCGTTAAAAAAAAGGAGAGAGAGAGAGAAAGAAAAAACAGGTCAGTACCAGTCTTGTTTGAGAACCTTAATACTGAGAATGAGTTCAGATTTGTTAGCAACCCTACAAACACAGTACAGACGAGGATATAAGGAGATCAATAATGACACAGAGTGTTTTTAAGCCCTTCAAGCAATCACAGCTAAGTCTTTACAGTTTTCTGATGGACAGATCTTTGTCATCTTCTCAGAGGAAATGTAAATGTCTGCTTGGCAGGGTCAAGCTTACAGAAACCCCAGTGGATAAAGGTAATTATGCTGTCAAACCAGAGGCTAACAGCAAACACAATGATCCAATATAGGTCTTCTCTGCAGTGCTCATGGCAAAAACAGTGGAGCTGAAATGAGGACCAAGGTCAAGAGGGAGCAGAAAAGACAAAGGAAGGAGAAGTAAAAGACACAGACTTGTGGAGTGGTACGAATTGGTTTGGAGGGAAACAAAGAGATAGCGAGAAAAGCCCGGGAAGATAAAAGGGCCATGACATGGCTGGCATGACACAACATGTCTGTAAACGTGAAGGAGGGCAGAGGGGGACTGGAGATAAATTAGAATCAGTGTAGCATGAGGAGGTCTGCTCCTCTGTCCAAAAAAACCCCTCTTAACTCTGTGACACAGACCAGCATCGACACTGTGGCCCAATTAGCGACATCATTCCCATCGTGATCCCTCTAATTTCCTCTTATGAGCAAATATGACAGGCCTGCCTTGTGTCAACACTGTGATTGGTAATGGTTTGARTTTAATTACTCAAGTGCTGCACTCCAACACCGTTTCATGTCCAGAACGTATCAGATGAAATGACAGCAAGCCATGCAGAGGATGTCTCTCATACACTCTGGTAGTCTGCAATGATTTGTATCACACAGCAATTACAGCAGAGCTGTGTCGAACCACAAGAGCTCAATTATAGAACAGTGACAGAAATATAAGTACATTTAAACAGTGCATACAGGTAGTTGTCTTTAGCGTTAAATATAAAATGTCAACAATTAGGGATGCATCAGTTGATCGAATAGTGACTGGAATAGGTCAGTTTTTATGGACCATCCAGTCCAACACTCAAAATGTCATTTATGTTTCCCAGCCACTAAACACCATAGCTCCATCCATCCTGCGCCACTTGTTCTGAAGTCCGGTCGCAGGGCAGCAGCTTGAGTAGGGACTGAGGACCAGACATTTCTTTTCACAGCCACCTCTTCTGGGAGGACTCAAATGTGTTCCCAAGCCAGACGAGAGATGTAGTCTCTTTAGGGTTTTCTGGGTCTTCCCTGGGGTCTCCTCCCAATTGGACATGGTTGAAAAACCTCCCTAAGGAGGTGTCCAGGTAGAACTCTTATCAGGTGCCTGAACCACCTTGACTGGCTCCTCTCAATGTGGAACAGCAACTGTTCTACTYCAACTCTCTCCAAAATAACTGAACTTTTCACCATATCTGCACAGAAAACCCATTTCAACTACTTGTATCTGCAATTTCGTACTTTTTGTCACTGACCAGATGTTGTGACCGTAGATTAGGGTAGGAACGCAAATCAACCAGTAAACAGAAAGCTGTGCCTTGAAGTTCAGTTCCTTTTTTTTTTCACCACAACAAACCTGCACAGTGTCCACAATACTGCGAAAGCCAACATTTGTTGATCTCACGCTCCATTCTTCCCTTCCTTGTAAACAAATTCCTGAAATACTTCATTCCAGAATTCCAGACAACAGGATAAGGAGGTTATTTTCAGCAGAAATCTTGTGGGGAAGAAAAAAAGTATATATATA